ATATAGCAAACTATTTTCTCTCCTGCGACCAAAAAAAACCCCATAACCACATTGATACCACACATTCTGTCTATTGTTATATAATAATGTTCTATAAATGTTCCCATTTCTTCCCAACGTTGACACTACCTGAAATAGAAATGATGTCAATTCAGCAAGATAAAATAACATCGCGATTATGTTTCGTGTTGACATTGCGGAACACTTGATTTTGCTGATTGTTGTATTTCAGTTGAAATGATAACTATGAACTGTTTTGAAGCTCGTCAAGACCAAATCAATTCATCATCTCGTGGACTAGAACTTGGCAAGTTCCAATCCCGAACTGACTTTTTTATAAGGCGAATCTACCATACCTTTGGGATGACTATGTAACATTAGTAAGATAGACACCATCAGTGAAATGTTTAAATACTGAATAACTATAATAATATGCAGTAGGTGGGCAAACAGTATTACGTTATTTCACCAATGCTACCTCTCCATCATATATGTATATATATACATTTGGTATTTAAGAAATATTCCATCGGGCCTATATCTCTCACTTCTTCTTAATTTTCTGAACTAGTCAAAATTTTGAAATATTTCTACTAGCTTGAACCCATGGCGCTATCTTAATTCTTTTTTACCCCAAAAATATTACTAGGGAAAGCTTTTGGCAGTAACATTTGCACAAGTCACCCGAAGAACAGCTTGGCTGTAATTTGGATTCAAAATCGATAAAACTAGGGTAAAATATCAACAGGGATCAGCATGGAGAACCTGGAAAACGAAAACGTACAAAGAAATGAGATCATATTCTGGAAAGATAATCGACGACATACACTATGCACATCTATTTAAACTATGTGTCAAATCGTAGTAATAGCACGTTCTAAAAATAAACAGGATATACAGATATTGCTTAATAGATTTGTGATATTGTCCATAAATCTTGCCGATAGGCTTCATCATAAGCATAAGCTCATTTGGCTGTTCGGCCGACGTGCGCTCAAAACAAACATTAAACCGCGAGTGAAATCTTTGCCAAAATATTGAAATCTTTGCCATAAACGGACTTGTAAGGGAACAAGAGATCCCGGAGGGATCTTGGCGCCCACCTTTGTACCATCTTCATTAGTTCTTTTTCAGTTCGATCTTTTCTCTTCTTTCCTCTTATCTGTTTGATCGATTCATGTTAACAGTAAATGCACCTTAAGGTTACTTTTGATCTAAACTTAATACTGATGTGTATGAAAGCCAACCTCCAAAGTGAGTTTATCATTTCACATATTTACTAGTACAGTACAGTAATTAAGTGAAAGAAATAGAATCGATTATTGCAATATGAGAAAGATCTGTTTAGTTCTTCTTTTAATCCATTTTGTTTTTATGATCAGTCTCAAAATATAACATGCACAACGAGAGATCAAGTGGAACATACATATCAAATTTGAGAAAGACCCCTCCCGTACTTCCAGAGAAATAGCGATAACAAACTTTCACTATCAAAATCAAAGATGGCTGCCTGTCGGCCATGTTTCTTATCCGATCAGTCTCTAAAATTTCCCTGCAGAGCTGAGACCAAGGGGAACCTACATATAAAATTTAAGTAAGATCCTTCTAGTTCTTCCGGAGAAATAACAGTAACAAACCTACACTATCAAAATCCAAAATGGCTGCCTTTTGGCCATGTTGTTTATTCGATCAGTCTCAAAATTTGCCCTGCACAGCTAAGGACCAAGGGGAACCTACATATAAAATTTGAGAAAGATCCCTCTTATACTTCCCGAGAAACGGCGATAACAAACTTTCTATATTAAAATCAAAGATGGCTGCCTGTCGGCCATGTCGTTTATCCGATCACTCTAAAAAGTTGCCCTGCACAGTAAAGGACCAAGGGGAACCTGCATATAAAATTTGAGAAAGACCCCTTTGGTACTTCTTGAGAAATAGCGATAACAAACTTTCA